TTTTTTTTTTCGCATTTTCCGTCAGATTCCTTTCTTCCACTGTTAACGATAAATGTTTTATAGGACGAGAAAGTGATAAGAGAAGAGGTGGAGAAAATGCTGGCAGAAGGTGAGAAAAATCGAACGCAACGTCAGGCCTATCCTCCTTTGTTGCGCCTTCGAGTCAATTATCCAGATTCTTGGGCCAATATTATGGTCAGCACTTTCTTTCACATAACTAATGCTTGGAGTTTTCTGTTTGCTTGTAATCTTCTAGTTTTTGTGGGCAGAAATAATGTTATCAATGCCGTGACCGTAAGCTTTCATTGAGCCTAATTGTACAGTGAATTGGATCAGTAACAAAGGTGTTTCTCTTTTGAAATTAATTCATTGCAGAAGCTGAACATTCGTCAGTTTGGCGCATCGTATGCGAAACGGGTAGCCAATCCATCAAATATGATCACTGTTAAAGTGCTGAAATCAAATAAAAAGGTTGGAAAACGCGCTGATGGCAAATGGAGGACCGTGCCAAATGTGGAGCCAACAGCAACCGTTGAAGAAATTGTACGTTGTTGTTTTCAAAGCAGTTTGTGGCCTCTCTATCACCGTGTCCGTGGCAGTTGGTTGCCGTGCTTCTGATGCCGCCGTAGCCATGAAAGTAACATTTACTGGGCATGAAGAACTGCATATTTATTTATAATATGCTTGATGATGCATGTCAGTAAGTAGTAACCATGGGAGAGAAATGACCACTCGGATTTCGGAGAGAAATGACCGTCTGATGACTTGCAAGTGGTTCTAGCGGGTGTCAGAAAGAGGACAAGCTGCTAATTTTGCGGAAATTATTTCTTGTATAATGCGATTGATCAAAGTCAAAAGTCAAAACCTTCTCTGTATTTCTCTTTCTGTGAGAGGCAGGAGTTGGCAATACTTTCGATGGCTTCCTCTTCTGAGGGTTGCTTACCAGCAAGATTATGGCGGAATTGACTCCCTGATATATGTTAGTATCGATTTACTGTCGGAACGAATCGCAGAGGATCGGTTGTCCATCGACAGAGTCGAACTTTCGACCTGTTTTAGATAACAACACTGCTCCCCAACTGCGCCATGTCTGCCGACAGTGCCACTGCTGGGTTTTATACATTGGAAATAGTGTGCTTTGAATCCATTTCTAAGAATACCATTGCCTGTGAGACTGCTTTTGATGGTGCATATGCTACTGAGTCAAAATTCAGGCCTTTCAGCTCTTTCTTAAGCAAATTATGGAAACGCCAGTCATCAGCAGTCATTGTGGAGATAATTGTTACAAATGCTTCTTGTAAAACATGAAATGTGAGGAAAGGAAGAAGAGAAGAAGGGCGTGGGAGGGGGTGTTCGGCTGCTCATATGAAAATTTGCAAATTATTAAAAGAAAATCAGACCTCGTCTAGTCTTGCATATTTTGTTTTTCAGATAAGGAGTCATTTTGCTGCACCTGACAATGACACTCTGAGCGTGCTGGATGTGGAAACGCTAAATGATTTCGTGAAGTTATACGTTGAGCAAGAAGATGGTAGGCGAACGAGGAATAAGCCGTATGTTGAAAAATTACAACTGAAAAAGGAGAAATTAATCGATGCACTTTGCAAAGTGTCCTATGACGAGTTCCTTGCCGATGAAAAACTTGTGAGTCTTTTGCTCCGAAAATTTATTTTTTTTTCGTTTGTTTCTTCTTTCCATGGTAAGTTGGCGCTAATTCTCCTCACATATAAAAAATCAAAATACCATCAGTTTGCTAAGAAACAGTTCTAGGCTTATGATCCCGATCCCGTTGGCAGCCGTGACAGCTCTAGGCGATGAGCTGTCAGTCGTGTTGTTTGGAGTGCCTCCGTATCTCAAAAAAAGTGAATGTAGGAAAAGCTTAAGTGAGGAATTTGAATTATGTTTGTGAGAGCCGGTATTTCCACTTCTCGATGGAATTACCTAGAAGGTTTACTGATTCATACTGTGCTTCATCAATTAAGTTTCCTCCAGCTTTTCCCTTTATCTTGACCAGTGTTGCATCGCTTCGTGGTCGGCCCATCCTAGTTTGCGTCGTTTTCCTTTCTTCAATAAACGCCTGTTATTGCAGCCGAGCAGTCACAAAATTCTGGAGCAGTTCGAGGAATTTGTTAATGCAGATATTGAAAAAGTTCGAAATAGCTGTATCGAAACACTGAAGCAGGAGGTGCTCAGTAATGACGATTGTTAATTATTGCCTACTTATCGACGATACGTGTATTGTTTTGCAAGCTTTATTTTAGCTGTTCTTTGTGGTTATATGTTTATTGCCATTCCACTGTTGTGTCTTTTCTTGCTATCAACGCAGCTGATAAATTTTCCGTAGTTCGCTTAACTAAAACTGTGATGATCTGTGTACGGATGTGCATATAAATGTTTGAATCATGAACATTTGGAGTCCGATGCATTTGCAGTGGTTTCCTGCACGCTGTTCATTTTTTTTTTTCAGTTTCTTGTCAAATAGTTTTAGTCGAAAAATAGTTGTTCTGCTCAGTTAGAGACTAGTTAGTTCTTGAAGAGTAGCTTCCTGTGATGGCGGAGAAGGACAGTACAGTATTTATTGTCGAGCAACTGTGAAAATACAAAATCGGTTGGCATTTTGAATCATTTGTTTAATGTGATTATATTAAAATCCTTTGCCCATGTCCTTTTTGTGGTAGCACTGGCCGCTTCTCTGGAGATATTGTCGTGCCGAAGATTTGTCCAGTTTCTGGTTCAATGTTTGCGGAGAAGAAATCGCGTCAAAGTATTTCAACCGATCTACAGGAACAGATCGATTCGATCGCGGCAAATCGGTATTTCACGCGAATAGTTGCTGCTGGCAGTAAAGGATGTTGGTGTTTCTTTTCGTATTTATATTTGATACCTTTCGCTGCGTGATCTTGCAGGCCTATGTATTTCTCTTCGCCAAATTCGATGTTTAGAAGCTACGAGCTTTCCTTTGATTATATGTGGAGTCCTAGAAGTTTGGGAATTTTCTGTGCTCTGGGTCTTAATTCCGACTTTAAAGTGAAGTATTTATCGTAAATTGAAGAAGAGTGGGCTGCATCGTCGAAACTTTAGTAATCGGGCTGTGCCATGTAAACCATTTTAATTGTCGGGGTCTAACCTCTGACTTCCGAGAAGTCCAATTTAGTGCAGATGGTTTATTCCGGGAAATTCCTATAGTGTGCTTTTATAAAAAAATGCGAAAATGCATACATCAAGAATGCCAGAACTGCTCAGGCTATCACTGTGGGTATCCACTGTCACTGATATTGCTAGGATACTCTTACGCGCCGAGGGCAGCTGTGTTAGGTTCTTCGATCTTGGGCTACATGCCTTCCAGATAGTACTCACCGGCTGTTCGATGTATCTGTGTCACCTCTTTGCATATTTGCGCCTTTATTTTTCATTCATTGTGTAGGAATATCCATTACCTTTTTCATCAGCTGTTTCACAGCTTTTTTGAAATTTTTCAAAAAATAATTTTTTGATTTTTAATGCTTATACTATATTGCAGTGCTGAAGATTTTCACGATCCAAGAGAATGGTTTTGAATTTGTCGCTGATCTTCGTGCAACACGCAGTCGTCGATTGAATCTGATGTATTCAGCAAGCCATGTCGCCTGGAGTCCCAACATTGGTGGGATTTTGTTGCTTGAAATACACAGTGATTTGCAGCTGTTTGAAATATGCCATAAGTTAATGATTTTTACAGATAACATGTTAGCAACTACATCCACAAATGGAGCGATGGTGCTTTGGAACGTCCATAAAGCTGCTTTGGGTGCGTTTTGTTTCTTAGCTTATTGGGCTTTGATACCTCGATCGCTTATCGTTTTACTACAGCAAACCCCCATTAGCGCAGCTTAGGTCACAGCCCTCGTCGGTTACTTCGACCGATAATATATCAACTGTAATCAGCAAGATGTTTGTGTCCGTTGAGCTCATTTCTCTACTTTTTTTTCCGTAGTTTTTTTTTTCAGCAAGACGTATATGTGTTATATTTTTTTTATGAGTTCAGCTTTTTCTCCCATGTTGCTCCACAATGGTCTCCATCTGAAAGTATGCCTGTAACTTTTGTTTTAGCATTTAAATCAGCCGATATCATGAAAAGAGTAACGATGGAAACGTTTCAAGTGGAGAATTTGTGACTCATAAAAGGGTGAAGAAGATTCAGATTTTTCCAGATCACATATACAGAGCGCATACTCGCTCAGCGACCAAAGTATGCTTCCATAGGAATGATCGCAATGTGTTGATTAGTGGAGCGAAGGATGCAGCTGTGATACAGTACGATTTGCGACTCCCAGAACCAGTCAAAAAATTTATGTAAGCCTATTTTTCCAGCAAAAAAAAGGAAAAAGGTTATTATTTCAGATGTTTTTGTAGAAAGTAATAGCTAAATAAGCAGTCGCAGGAGATCAGCATTTTTTGCAGTAGCGGTAAGCTATGCTTGAGCAGCAGTGGGAGGCATTAAGCTCATTCTAATTTGGCGCATATCGTGAAAATTAGCGGAAGAATGCAAACACAATAATGCAAAATGGAAGCAAATTTCATATTTCCATACCAGCTGCTATTAATACAGATGGCTTTTTTGCTTTTCTTTGTTTGAAGCCTTCTTCATTCACATGTTCCCATGCATTCGTTCAAAGTGGATCCTTCAGGTCCTTCCGCCTTTTGATATCGCACTGGTACTTGGTGCTACATAGAAACAGAGCGAAATTATTAGAGGAACACTGAAGATGCTACTAGAAACAAACGTGATTTGAGAATGGAAAGGATTTTGTTAGTACTGTTTCGGACTCCGAGTTTGATGTGCTTTCTTCTTTGCCTTGAAAAATAGGCATGTCATTGTTTTACAGAATATTATTTGCGAAATATTTCGATTTTGCTGTACTGTTTTGAGCTTAAAGTCATTGAGCGAAGGAGATTCTGCAGGAGTGGCTCTTGCGATCCCATCCGGGACATGCAGTTCGGCATCCACCCAAATCACGTTGATATATTTGTGGCCGCTGACGATGCTGGCTCTGTACGGTTTTGGGATTTGCGCCGCAATGATCGCCCGCTTTATCAGTTTGTTGCCCACCACGGGCCGTCGAGCGTCGCGCTGAATCCGAGCTGTGAAGATCAGAACTTGATTGCGACAGCCGGCAGAGATAAATTCATAAGGGTAGAACATCTTTTTTTAATATTGCGAAATGCAGGACATATATAACTAAAACTTGCATTTCCGTAGCTAGAAGACAGTGAATTTTTAAATTGTAGATTTGGAAATGGTCGGATTGGTCGGAGAATTCGTTCAGTTCAGCAATTTACTCGGTTGAAGCGACAGCATCTGTGTCCCGGGTGCATTGGAGGCCTTCACACAAGTACCAGGTTCGCATATTTGTTCATCACTTTTGTTAGGGATTTTTGTCGCTGTTTAAAAATTCAGTTATAAAATTTGGGTTTTTAAGTATAAAAATTTACCTATTTGTTATTCTCCAAAGAGGACATTGCGATTA